AAAAACTAAAAAAAAAAAAAAAAAAATCACAACCAGTATTTCTTCTTCAGCATTACTTTAAAGAACTGGCCTTTCACTGGTTCACAACTGGCGTCCTCCACGACAGATCCCACACCACCACCTTCTGTCCACAGGCAGATTAACACAAGATACACCTCAGAAGAAAACCACGACTCCACTAAAGGCCCATTTCACTTCCATAACACATTAAGGTTACGCACATAACATACGCAACTATCAGCCCTTCTTTGATCTCATACGATTTCCTAAAAGCAAAATAAAACCATGTAATTACTATAATCACTGGAAAAGCAGAAATAAAAATCATTTGAATTGAAAAAAAAGAAAGAAAGGAAGGAAGAAAGTGAGGCAATTTCACCTGTTTATGTCCATGCATGTAACTACACGCCTGTCCAGCGCCGCGCGCAGCCCACAGTGACTCCATGTGAACGTGATAAATCACGGCTCAGAGATAGCCATCATCGGCAATTTCTTGCAGGATGTCTCTCCACTAAAAGCGAGGAGGCTAATAAAACCTGGCCTCCTGCAGAAAACCAGATGTTCGCGTTTTGACGGGAATGTGCGGCAATATCACAGCGCATATTTTCAGAAATGAAAGAGAAACCGCAGCAGTTTTTTTTTTACCATGTAGTCAGCTCTGAGAGAGAAAAGGAGATAAGGAAAGATGTAAATTGACCTACATTTTATTTATTTTCTTTTTTGCGTGATTGTGATTCGGCGGCTGAAACCTCATTTAAGCGGATGGATATATCATTGATAAACATTATCACCATAGTTGCTGTATCATTTCAAGTGTACACGCTATTTGAGTTATTCTACATAGGCCTATGTGGGCTGACAAAAATTTAACGTTAGTGCAATGATGAGAAAATCAGTTAAGACATACCACTAGAGGGCAGCACCGTCTTGACCTCCAGGCCATGAAAGGTTGACATGTCTTGCCCTTTGCTCAGCCATTTTTCTGCTGAGCAGAGACAAGAATAAAGTTTTCAACGCTGTATTTGGTCACTCTTTTCACACTACATTAAAATAAAATGTACTATTCATTATTATGTCAGCCAAAACAAAATAAGATGTCTTTAGAGGGGCAAGAAAATGAACGTGATATATCCTTTGCTGTTGAGACAATGTTACTGTAAATGACGACGAAAGCGCTAAATGCTATGAAACCCGCCTAAAAGGCTCTGAAACAAAAACACATGGCTGCCAGTTCACTGTATGACTGCATTGTGTCAGAAGCATTGGAGAAAAGCGAGAAAAAGTCAAAGCCCAAATGATGAGCTGCCAAAATTCAAAATGTGGCAAGAGGAAAGCAACAGTTTAAAGAAATTCATAAGTCTGACTTCCAGTTTGTCACAACAAACACATGGAACAAGGTGCTGTGGTCAGATGACACAAAAAAGGTAACATTTCATCTAATAAACTGTGGAAAACTAGCGTTCTACCCCTGAGCACACAATTTCCATAGTGAAACATGGTGGTGGCAGCATCATTCTGTGGTGGTAACAGGATTTTTTATTCAGGTGTGCTGGTGCAGAAATGCTTCTAAAAGTAGCAGGAAAGTGGGATTTTTTTTATTTTTATTTTTTGGAAAATGAAATACAAACAAAACCAACCAATCAAAAAATGAAAACTGAAATAACTAATCACCCACATTAATAAGGACGGTTTGATCACCCTGAAAGTTATTTGGACATACTACCAGAGTAAAGTGGGATGAATGCACAACAAATTCCACTCTTTTTGCCTAATTATTATTATTTTTTTAATAAGAATGTCCAAAACCATATATTCTTTTTACTTAAAATCATAGATGGAACTTTGTCTATAGTGTCAGAAAAAGAGGAAACGTTAGAGGGGGAGACTTTAGCAAGGCTCTGCAGTGAGAGAAAGTGAACACTTAATCTTGTCACTTGTGCCTTGGATTTTCTGAAAACATACTCTTAGCCTTTATCAGTAAATAAAACAACAGCCTAATAAGGTGTATTTAGTGTACGCAGGAGGACAACATTGTTTACCACAACACAGCCTCTCAATCGCCTGGTATACTGACGAGCACAATTATTATAAACAGAGTAGAGAATGTGCCGGTCATCTATTGGGGGAAACATTTCCTTATGCGCACTAATGAGGCAACACTTCCCTAAAAAAAATGCAATAAAAGCGCTAAATGTGATGGAAAATTGCCTGAAAGCCCTATAAAAGAATCGGAATCTCAAACTGCACGGCCGCTACTTTAATGCGAATAAGTTTGTGATGTGTTCTTTATAAGGGAATTTTATTTTAACAAAGCAGAGAATGATTACTGATTGCACAGCGTTTGGGGTTTTTTTTGGGTGCAGTACCTGAACATTACATTGCCACGGCCGCCTGCGGTTTTAATGTTCTGTTCTAGTTTTGCTTTTAAGAGTAGGTGCATTGTGCTGCCCTATAATTATGATTAATAAGAACAGCAATTAGGCTTTATGAGCGTACTGTGGGCAGATTTTCTCAATAAGCCACATGGTGCTGACTAACAGTTTGGTCCTTTCAGGGTCAGTTTATTATAGCTGCGAGGAGTTCAGACATCATGGTTGAGAAGCAGGGTCTACTTGGAACAAAATAAAAATTGGTTCAATGGATTCTAGGGATTCTTCACGGAGCAGAAGAGACTCGATTTCTGTTTCCATCCAACGGTTTCCAACATGGCAAACTGCCTGGACGATAATATCGAATAAACTGATCAACATTTTGAAAAGACTAAATATCGGAGTACTAAAATTTGACAATGATTTTAGTCAAATATGTAGTGCTTGTAAAACATGTTGAGAATTTGTCTGATCTTACATGGCTGTCTCACCTTCATGTGGTAACCTGACCATCCCTAGAAAGCCCATAATAAACCCCACAGCCTGTTACTGCCACCACCGTGTTTCACGGAGTGTTTATGCTGAGAAGGAATCATAGATGGGTGGATTTCTTTTTTTACTCATTACATTTGAAGGTAATTGGGTTTATTGGATTTTATTTAGGGGCACCAGGGTGAACAGGACATGCATCTTTCTCAATCTGCTTGACAGCAATGCAGCACTTAGTCTTGTTCTAATAAATAAAATTTAAGCAAAACACCTTGAAGGTTATGGTTGATTGATGAAATGTGGAGAACATAAGAGGATGTGAATACTTTTTTAAGGAACTGTTCATAGTCAGAGAGGATTAACAACCAATAAAGTCTTGTCTTAAGATAAATGTGATCAATTCTTCTTCCAGTGTGGTACCTGGTTGACTAGCACCATCTGTTGATCAATCCGAGTACCTTAAACCTGCTGCCTAAAGAAGACCATGACTGCAACTCTACTTGTTCCTGAAACTCTTAAAAAGTGGATCAACTGTGATTACTACAGCAACCATAAGCCCAAGCTGGCTAAAGGGACAGACTGCTGTGGTGAAACATAACCACGGAAACTCGGGTCAGAATGAAGATTTGTACGTGAATTATTGAGGAATGAAGTCAGTCAGACAAAGCAGCAGAAGCAATGATGTAAGTATTGAATCAGAGAAGTACTAGTTCTGGTTAGTATAGTATATTTAGTATACTAGTATATAGTTAGCATAGTTAGTATATTTCCTTAAACGACATCAGTGAACTGATGATTCAGTCGTTATTATAAAACAAACACTGTGACGCTTCAGTAGTTTCTATTATTAAAGACCTGACTCAGCCGAAACTAGCCTTGAAGCACTCGCTTGAACCTGGGAGACACAGAGCGAATAACTCAGATGTGGGCAGGAAGTTCAATTGACCAGCTAGAGAATATAAAATCTCAAGAGATAGAAAACACACCGAGGGGCCCGACTCCACATCACAGGCAGAGTGGTCACCCAGCTCCTCCTTTCATCCAGAGATCTCGATGATGAGAGGCCTGGAAGGTGCCTTCTTCTTGTTAAGAACATCGCCGAAGCTAACATGGCTTCAGTAAGATGTGTTTAAAACCAATCAGGGAAAATACTTGCTGTATTTGTGAGCAAACTGAGCTCAAACACAAAGGACGGATTACATTTCATTATATCAATAAACAAATCTAAATATTTTAGATCTATGCCTAAGATTCGTGAATATATAGGATGCCCCTAGTGGCCTGGAGGCCCTTAACAGCAGCTTCATTTGATTATGTCACATATAGACCAAAATCATGACAAGCAGATAAAAGTCCTATGTGTTAGTTTTGCCCAGAGCAGACTCATACTTTTCCGTTATTCGAAATGCAATAACGCAGTTCCGCCAGCAGAGGCCAGCAAAGGATAGGACTGAAATCAACAATCACACTATAATGGTTTTAGGAGAACTTGGGGAAGACACAGTTTATAATGTCCATAAAGGGGGATGTTAACAGACTCCTTAAAAAAAAAAAAGAAAAAGAGCTGAACACCTAAATCAAATCTAAAGGCATTTAAACAAATTAGTTAAAAGGTTGATAAGATTTTGTCTCCTACAAGATTTATAATTTTTTTTCATGCAGGACAAATGTCAAACTACACCAAGCACTAAAGTTTGTCTATTTTGAATCACTGGGTACTTTTTTTTTTATAAGCAGTTGCCTTTAAAGCAAAAAAAAAAAAAAAAAAAAAGATCTGTTACACTTCCAGAGGTTCTGATGAGATTTTAATGGCCCTTGTCCACAAAATTGCAGATGCAACCAAGCTTGTGTTTAAAGCAACCCAGTTCTGGACTCATATCATGATTTTTTTTCCCCATAAAACCTATCATTTACATCGTTTAGTGTCAATTTATTGGCTTTTCCTCTGTTTATTTAAAGACAGCAAGGAGAACTTTTATCTGACTGATTTTAACACAGCTCTCATATTCTTGTCAGAGCAACATGTTCCCCAAAAGTAGACAACAGAAAATCTCCTTATTATATTTTCATGGAGGAATCTACGGTAGTTTAGAGAATGATGTGCAGTGCAGAATGATGGAAAGAAAACACAGACATGGAAACTGATAGGAAAATAACTTTTTTATTACTTGAAAAGAATAACAGCCTCTACTGATTGTGAGTGAATACATATTTATGTGAACAGTCGTTGTACTTGTTGTTCATAATAACAAAGTAGCAGAAACATCACAGCTTCTTAGATGCAAAAGCTATTGAAGAACATTCAGAGAGATACAAACGGTACAAGAAAGAGGAAGAAAACTTCCATTTCTTCTCCATCGACCTCCACCCAGTAACACAGCCACCCTGTGTTACTGGGTGGCTCCCAGTAACACAACCTATTTCTGCTAATTGCACGCAAACCTTTGATCAGTCCTGGTAAATAAGCAGAGGTCAACGCTGCACACACAAGCACCTTGTACTGGTTTATTATTTGAAGGTTTTCATCGGCATGGCTGGTATTCAGCTAATTTCCTGTGGGAGGTTCTCCGTTTGCTGCTGGAATGTGACCACACGTGTCCCCCGACATGCAGCCTGTCGTCCAGCCCTCAGCCAGTGAACATGCAGGACGTTAAACAGCCTCGTCTTCGGTGTCATATGCTTGCTATTACTGCTCTACATTTGGATACAATAGATTTCTACGAAGGTATATGTCTGTGTGAATGAGTGTGAGCTGTCTCATCTGTCCTCGACCAGCAGCTGCAGTCTGTCTTCGGCCAGGTTTGGGCTGCTGCGTCCGGTGTCGATGGCCTCACAGTCGTCTGTGAAAAACACCAAGTCCTACCGGGACAGAAACGACGAAAACAGCAGAAAAAACGCGAGTTTACGATTGGCCGAGCTGCTCCGACTTAAAAGTAGGAAAAACACGGCAGAGAGGCTCTCACCCGGTAACAGATTCTGGTGATGATGGAGTACAGGTTCTGGGTTTTCCGCTTCAACACGACCATTCTGGGCTTCTCTTTGCAGCTCTGGTCGGGATGGTTCAGCACCACGTAGAGAAGGTCACGCAGCTTGTTGGAGATGCATGCGTTCTAGAGAGATGATGGTATGTTTTTGAACTAACATCTTCATTTAATCTGGAGTTTTAACCTTGATGCAAACAACCAGACAGTTTGATTGAATGTAGCTCTTTTCTGACAATCAATAACATTCACCTGAAACAACTTTTAATATTAGAATACATACAAAGACAAAAAAAACAAACAAAGGTTTTCTCTATTGATGTTTTTCCAACTTACATGCACATCAATGTGGATGACAGGTAGAACTTCAGCACACGCTTTCTACAAACCAATCAACACAGCAAGAATTAGACAAAGCAAAAACCACGGGTCTAACAGGATCACTGCTGCAGTGAAGCGTTCTTACGGTGCGATGGGAATTGTGGATCTTGTCCAGCAGGGTCATGATTTCTCTGCTCAGGCCAAGCGCTCTGGAGTAGCAGGTCGGAGGAGTGCAGTCGCACCGAAGCACGACGCTGGAGAAGCAGAGGAGAGCAGTCAGTCCCAGCCTCATGTCTGTCAGCTCCAGTGAGGTCCGGCTGCCTGCAAGGGAGTTCAACGAATAGGCTGCAGAGAGAACGACTGGCTCCACTTTTAAGGATGGAGAGGGAGTGAAAAAAAAGAAAAAAGAAAAATGAGGATGACGTGGAAGAACTGGAAGGCTCAGCAGGGAGAGAGAAAACAGATTGACTGTTGGAAAAGAAATTCAGAGGCTGTAGAAATGAGTTAATCTTAATGCAGATCCAGCATTTTTTTAGTTTCTGACTGTTCTGGTTTGTTAATGCAGACTATGGAGTACTGTGCATGCAGAAAATGAGACATATTTCAGCTAAAGAGATAAGAGGTAAATAATATGTTTTAAGAAACAAAAGGCAAACCTGGAGATTGTAATGTTTCCAGCAAGGCTATTCAGTTCCATTAGGGCGTTTATACCAAATCCACATTTACATGCGTCACTGTTTGAACTGAATTACTGAACTAAATTAACATTTTCTGAAATGTTCCAGTGTCTAATGCAAATAAATAACATAAGGCGTAAGAAGCCAGCTGCCTTTAATTGAAACAAAGCCAGACAATGCATGCATGATAAAAAGTAAAAAAATATGCTCTTTCAGTAAAACTATTAAGTTATTTTTTTAATATATATATTTACAACACAAACATTAAAAAATGCACTATGTTAGCCTCAGGTTGCAGGAGCAACTGAGCCTTTCTTGAAATTGAGAAAATTCCTCTTCTTTTTCTTTCCTGGGACAACAGAGTTATTGGATACAGGTGGATCCCGAAACACAAACAAGCGCTCTCCGGTGGCGAGGCTGCCCACTGCACCGCAGGCGGAGTCTGAGGTCACGCTTTCCCCTGCAGGGCCACGCGCCGTTTCCTCCGCCGTGTCACTCTGTGGCTGCAGAACAAGTGTGGCTGGCGTCAAAACATCCTGAGCTGCTCTGTCGTCAGCTAGCAACGGTCCGGCATCTCTGGGACGCAGGAGACGGGATCTAGGGAGCAGCTTTTCCAACGTGCTCCGCCTCTTTTCCTCCAGCCTGACAGAGCTGGAAGACAAAGGGGCCGCTGTTAGCTGGATTGGAGTATTTCGGTGCTTACCTCATTCGTTGCAGCCACTGGCGCCAAGCCACAAACATTCCTCTGATCAAAGCCATGTTTCACTTTCATTTGGGATTTGTCAATGATGTTGGCGAACCACTGATCCGTAAGTTATTCTCGGTGGTAGCTGAACAGCAGGCTTTCATTTAAAAGCAAAGTTGATAATCACAGAAACGTGCTGGGCCCACCTCTCTCTTTCCACAGCGCCGTTTGGTGAATTAATGATGATTTTCCGCACCGCAATTTCTCTCAGCCTGACAGGAACGTCTCTGTTCTGCTCCCCAGGACATCTGCAGAAAGAGGCATCATCTTCATCATCGTGGTCTTAGAGCGACTGAATGGCTTTACACGAAAAAACAAACAAACTGTAAAGTCACGTCTCTACCGTCAGGCGCCTTTTCCCCACAAAGCAGTGATCTCATTCAGAGATGACTTCAGGGAGACCTCTTAAAGTAAAACCATTCAGTTCACCTCACACAGCTGGAGTGAGGCGTGAACTGCATGATGCAAAACTCAAACTCGGAGAGAATAAAAGCAGCCATGAGTGGAGCTTTTCTTGTCCACAGCCCAGATGGAATAAAAGTTCCCATTACGGCAAACTTCTAAACGGATGTTTGCAACCGCGAGGCATGTTCAAATCCCCAAAACTTGTTCTCCTTTTGACACGGTATTTTATTGGAATCTCATGCAACAAATTGTCTTCAGGAAGAATGTTTTGGGGGATTTTAAAGCAGGTTATTGAACAATATAACTTCTCTTCTCACAGAGCTCTGCTCAGTTTATCATCTGGAAATCTAAAGACCCAGGAAGAACACACATTAGAGACTATCAATCATAAACCTTTTACGCCGTTCATTTCTTAGCGAGAAGCTAAATTATGAGCAGAACTTTGTGAAACCAGAAGCTGATTTTAAGTTATATTTGAATTCACCTTGCTCAAATTCAGTCTGCATGACTCAACATGAGTAAAGGGCACTTAAAAACTAAAGCTGAATCAGCAAAATTTGAAATCCATGTACTGGTTTGGAAATAATTGTCACTACAACACAACTGGATTTAATATTTTGAAACTTAATTTGATTTGAAACATTTCATTTTTTGCATCAAAAATCAATGTGAAATATGAAATAAAAAAGAAATAATTGAGTGCAGACTGATAGAACTATAAACTTCAAGGAACGTAGAGCATTTTGAGCTGGAATGGGACACAAGTGAAGTTATCAGATAAAATGTGTTATGTCAAAAGACCTGCAACCAAACTTGTAAGTTGACGACAAACAAATTAGATGCATAAGAGGAAGAGCGATGTAAACAAATGCTAAATTAGCACAGTTTGTCCTGGGTTAGTCACTTTTTAAAAGCATTTGTTTTTCAATTTCAGCCATTCAATTTTGATCTGAGCAAAACAAATTCAAATACAACTTAATTTCAGTTTCTGAGTGAGCAGGGGGATCAACACTTGTCATACTGTGACACTATCTGAATCTCTACTCTAATTCTTGTACATCTTTTGCACTGGGCACTAAACCCAATGATCACATCATCTCGCTTTAGCAGGAGTATAAAATGGCTACAAAAGGCAATTTTCCTGAACACTTTTGAAAAGAAGAAAGACCTTGAAAGGGAAAACAGCATACTGTGTGGTTTTCCAGACAATATTTTCTGTTGGATTACTAAGCAACCTCCTGCTGGAGGCATTCCTCATCAGCAAGGCAAGCCAAACTCAGCAGGAGACAGAAAACAGCGTTCCAGGCTATTAGGATAAGAGAGGGAAGCAAAATGAGGAGTAAAGTCGTTTATCTTTTCATCTTAGCTGAGGGGAAGCAGACTGCAGTGAAGTTATATAAATTAAAGCTCTCACCTGTAGATGGTTGTGTTTCAACAAGGCCTCAAGATAAGTCTCAGTTTTTGAATGATAACCATTTGGTTTTGTTTTAGAATATGTTAAAATGACTTTTTAAGCAATTAAAGAAATACTCCAAAGGCTACTGAAGCAAAAATTATTACTTTGGGGGTTAAACAGAAGGTCTTTGACTGTGCTAGATTGCTTTTGTTAATTTAAAGTAATACTGGTACAACCTGTGTTTGCAGCAAGAAAGTTCTGAGTTGCTGAATAACAACCTCAAGAGCTTCATTATCACTTCTCTTTTTTGAAATTAATTTTTGGATTCAAATTTTTCCGTCTTCCAACTGAAAAGTTTTTGATTTCGATCCATTCTTAGCAAATACTTCTCAGCAAAGGATCAACAAGATACCGGTGTAGAGTCATGAATAGGTGATCTTCACACTTTTTCGCTGTAGAGAAAGTACAAGAAAACACTTCTACCCACTTTCCATCAAAGAATAAAAATAAGTTGCTGATTTTAGATTCATTCCATGATGTCAGTTTGTTGCCAAAGTGTACCCTGACCTGGTTTAACACACTCTTGCCAATCCTGGAAAAGTTTATTTGGAAAATAAAACACCTCAAAAAGAGAAAATCAGAGAGATTTAACTGGTTAGAGGCCAATCTGAGACAGGTTCTGATAAGTAAGACTACTTTCAAAGGCTGATGTGAAGGGAAGTTAAAATGGAGTTTCTGTTTAAATTGACAGAATCGTTTTTGCTTTTGATACACAACAGACTTGGACATGGATTTGGTGAGCAAAGGCTGAGAAGAGATAGGGGAAAACTAAACAATTCCATTGGAGCCGTCTAATCGTGTCAGATTGCCAGAAAAACTCTAAAAAGGTTTTTCTAACATCTGCACCAGAGTGAGCCTCACTACAAATCAAACTTGTATTGGATTATGCCATCCAATACAGTCTGAGTAAATCCTAAAAGAACGTGACCCAAACAAGGCTTTGGTCGTTTGCCAGACAATGAACCGCAGACTCTCTTCTCACCCCGAGCACTCTTGCTCTGCAAAAGCAGAAATGGGATGTTGTTTGCGGCAGAGCGCGTCGCTGAGCGAGAGAAGTTCACTCTCGGGCAGGCTTGGGAGGAGGAGACGCAGGACCTCCAGGAGAACATCGTCAGAGACACGACTCTGCTTCACCAGCTGGGAGGTAAACTCCAGATCCTGTAAAGTATAGACTCTCTTTACGCTCTGTTGACCATCAGCAGGATTTCCATTGTGCATTTAATGTAGAAAACAACAGAAAATAAAATCCGACCTGGTCACAGTTTGAGTAAAGCCTTTTGAGCTCAATTTGTTCTTTTAATTCTTCCTTGACTTGATTGCTGGTGGAAATCTCTTGAAACCTGAAGAGAAGAACATTTTCAACACTGGGAATATCTAAAGCCTCAGTTGATCTCTTGAACCGTTTTATCCAACAATGTTTCTATAAAAACATCCAAACATAAGCTAACCTGCAAGTCCTTTTTTTTAACTTTTTTACATAAAAATAGAGGAAAAATGTAAAGAAAACACCATAAATACAAATCTTTAAACTATTAAGATACACTGAAATACACAGACTGTTGACAGCTAATTTAAAACAAATGAATTAAAACCAAAACTTCATGAGTAAGCTACTCTAAAAGATGAATGCTTTCCGTCTTGATAGAAAAGACCAGACAGATTTTCATAGTTACTCGGGAAACGCTATTAACTTACCAAACCAAGTCCACTGTAAAGTTTAGAGAAGAAGAGCTTATGTTGTTTTGTCATGTGTTCTCAGAAGCTCTCAATTATTCAAATTTCCTAAGATACTAATTGATTAATTTACTCAGCAGATTATCAAGCTTGATCACAACCTTGCTGGCCCCGTGGTTTCTAACTGAACTGACTCTCTAACCTTGTGTTCGTAGGGTAAAAACAATAGCTTCTGTCCTCTTTGTGTTACGATGGAGAAAATTCGAAACCATCCTCCAACTGACACTTGTAGTCTGGTCAGACGTCATCAGCATATGCATGGTAAGACATACTGTAATCTGAGC